CGCCGTGATCTTCCTCCTTTGCCCGGCTATTGTCCCTCTCTCTTTCTCTCGCACCTTTCGCATTCTTGCTCTTCGCGGTATTATGCCGCCGCACTCTGCTCGCCTCTTTCGGTCTCGGGCGATTTCAGCGGTCGCGCGGCACTGACTCCGGATCACTTAACGAAGGTTCGAGCATTTCCTCCGGTGATCGGACAGCTCGGAGTCATGATGATGATGATGCGCTTTCCTCTTTCCGGGAATTGCGAGAGAAGAAGAAGACATGTTAGATGGCAGGATTTAGATCATTCTTTTTTTTTCTCGTCTTTAAATGATTTTACTTTGATACTGATATTTCCTCGTTGAAAAACTGCTATCTCTTATTTAAATCTACTATTTTCTAAATAATTGAGATAATAATTCTCTCCTATTGGACTTTCGAGAACATCATCGTTACTTTCGACTTTTAAACCATGACTTTCAAAAATGCTCTTTCTTCCTACCTTCCAATAGCCCATGAACTGTAAATTGACTGTATTATAATTCGCGTGATTATTGCTTTCCGTACCGTTAACGAAGCCTCGTTACAAGCCAAGTTTGTAAATACCTTAGCGATGAAGGAGAAGCGAAGATCGGTTCTTCATACCGCGGGCGTGTCACAAACTTGGCCGGAATGTCTTGTATCAAATCACTACGATCTCCTAGACATACGTCGAAGTCATGCTAGCTTTTGCAATAACCCACTGTTTTTTTATGCGTTTATATTTTAGAAACTAAGCTGTACAGTTACGCGTTATCGTCGATCAATCGCGAACCAAATACGAACATCTGTGATACTTTCATTTTTTCATATATTAAATGTCATTCAGATCTTCGATCATAAATTGATGTCGAAAAGGAGGCTGAATAACAGTTAGTCTATTTAGAAACTACCATGAAAAATTCGAAAATTATTTATGTAATTATTTTTACAGAAAATTATATTTACACAGAATATACAAGATGTAAGCTTTTTTTCCTCGTGCTTTTATTTAAAAAATATATTTTTGCTTCTACAGCTTGCTCGTTAAATGCATTTCCTTCCGTTTTTATTAGAATGATTATTTTCCTTGAAATCGACATTTACGTGTGCGATCGCCGGAAATTTAAGTCTGCCGGATCTGACGGAGGATATTCGGCGACGGGAAAGTCCGTTGATGTACATCAACGGTTTGTCTCGTCGCGTCGGTTCGTTTCTCATGATCAGCGTGGACATACGCGGGCTCGCAACGTTGTTCTCTTATTTTCCCCGAGTGTCCCGCGGTAACCGGCAGCAACATTGTTTTTCTCTTGCTCTGCTTCCCCTCTCGCACTCCGCTTCCCTCGCTCTTTCGCCATCTATCTGACGACTGGCTTTTGGGATTCCTTTTTTAATACTCGGACACACCGAGGACCTTTTACCACGGACACGTAGGGGCCCTCTTGTAATGACCGCAACGCTCCAATGCACTCGGCGTCCGGAGCTGCATAACCGGATGCTGCAGCGGACGCATAGGATGCATCTTGCAGCGCATCCATCTATCGTTTGCTGAATCTCGTTGACATTTCATTTTCGATGTTGCAAGACTGAAAATACATTTGTCGTGTTTTTGTTGAAAATAATAAATAAATATATATATAAAGCTATGCATAAAATGACTAGGATATAATGATCACATCAAAATGTAAAGTACGATAATTTAAATTTTACCGTTTTAATTATTTTTTTTACGTGTTATAATTTTATTTATTGCAATGTGTTTGCGAGATCTGTCGATTGATATTCGGTAATAATATCTTGTAATTGCTGATCTTTTCTTCGGTTGATATAAGTGAAAATTCGTAAGCGTTTGTCTCGATCCATTAGTTCTCCCCAGAGACATGGCCAATAATTCGTCGACAAGAACGGTAATCTCTTTGGAGAGATCGAGAATCATCTAGTCAAATACTGACGGGAGGAGCGCTAAATCAGGGAAAACCTAGGGACACTCGTTTTGGGTCTCGGGGTTGCCTGGAAGACAAATGTCAGCGGAACATGCGGGGAGCTTGGCTCTCGGCCTCTCTTATGCGTGGAGATGCACGGTCTGCGGCGGTAAATCAAGGGTGGTGATATTAAAAGGCCGCTTATACGCGAAAACATAAGATTTATTTCTGTTGGAGTGGAATGCGCGCGCTAGAAGGAGCGGGATAAAGGCGGTTCGTTTCGTCGAACGAGTGAATGCGCGAGGAGCGAAAGGAAGGCCAGATGAGAGAAAGACGGATTATATACGGAACGAATTTTTCCCGACTCGTACATGCGCGAATAGAAAGACGAGAGTAGAATTCAGGCAAGATAAAGCTGCATACGCATCCATGAACGAATGACAACGTCTGTCACTGAATGGTTCGGACCAATATTGCAATACGAGAAGTGAAGCAGAACAGAATGGACGGAATGTATAAATATAAATCGCACAATATAAGAGTACAATATAAGAGTAAATATAAATTGTAAAAAAAAATCGTGATTTATACATTTCAAAAAATACTGAATATTTGTTTGAATAGTTCCAAGTAAATATATTTACTAAATATATATTTATTTCATACAAAAAACCATTAATTTGATTTAATTATAATTTTTTTTATTAAGTAAATATTTACTGTAAGTGTTTAATTAGTAAATTGTTATTAAAACTATTCAAAGAAATATGTATTTAGTAATTTTTTTTTTCAATATTTGTAACTGGTTTCTTTGAATACTTGTTTCTTGATTTGAACAAATTACGTAATTTAATTGTTGTTATCATGTGCACACATTATAAAATGTATATCTTGCATTATTTTTTTTAATGGAATTATAATACAATCCTAAAATAAGAAAAGAAGCGCTCGATATTTAATGAATTATATCAAAATTTCTTAGTTTTATTTACATATTTCATATTTTTCTTTTTGCACTATTATAATTTAGTTCTCGGATTGTGTCCGTGTAATGATTCATTTTCTTTTGTAAGGACTGGCCCACTATCGCGCGAGATTCGGTCGTCTCGGTTGATTAAGGCCATCTACAATGATGCTGTCACTAGGTTCGTTCGTGCATAGAACAGGATATTATGCACCGGTATCGGACAATAAGTTGCCGACCACAATGACTTGGCTCGACCGTTTTTCCTCCGTCGAACGATCTGTAACTCGTTCGTTCGGACCTTGCCGCTGCTGTACCAACGCCTTCGTTAATTCTTTCGCTACCGAAGTCGACTAACAACTCACCGTGACTGTTCTCCGTATATCAGCTATAATTGCTCAAGTATAACCGACATTCCTGAGCTCACCAAACTCGCACGTTTTTGTTTCTAGTTCTCCGTTCTTGGGTTTTTCATTTTTCCACATAAATGAAGATGTATGATTCAAACTTCTGGAAATATGCCGAAGGTGTGATTTTTCCGAACATTTTTGTGCACAGTTACGTGTCCGGTGCGTTGCATCCCTACACTTCGTCCGAAGGCAGGAAAGTCCGCAACCGAATCCTGTTTTCCTCCTCCATCTCTCCGCGATCTCCGGGGAGCAATAATCGTTGCGGGGCGGAAAAATTTCGCGACAGAAGTTAAACAAAGCCTCGAAGCAGAAATAAAAAAGCGGGGACGTGGACGAGAGAGAACGAAAAGAGAGAGACAGAGAAACGTAGGGACATAGAAACCGGGGTTTCCCAGCTTCGACCGTAATAAGGGTGACCACCTCCCTCCGCGACTCCGTTCGCTCCTGCCGCGCGGCGTTCCTCTGTTCTACTGTTTGAACAAGGCTCATAATTAATACGCGCATTCGCTTCTGGAAAACGCGCGCCCGGGGTGCTCGGGGTAAGGGACATTTTTAAACTACGGCTTCGGATAGTCGCCTTGCCGCAAAGCACGTCGATACCTCGTGAGTTCTCCGAGGGCTGCTCCGATGTATCTCTCATATTTTTTATCACGTTTTAAGGTGTCCTTTTACGAGGAAAATTCAGGATATTGTCCTCTGTACTTTCAATGACAAATCCGTTGCCGTGGATTTAAATTTAACCCTGAAATACGGAAACAACGGATTATTATTTGATATTTTATATTTATTAATATTTTTAATGTGTGTGTAGTTTTAATCCTAAGTGTATACTTTCTTTTTCTTTAAATTAAATTATTTGCAGTGTTTGTTTTGAAATTATTCTTTAATCGATTTGATCTTCAAGATTGCATCTACAAATCCTATAAAATTATACCTCATAATTTTTTAATTGAATTATATTCGTTTTAAATATCTTCAGATTTTTTTTCTTTCGCATCACGTATTACATAGCAATGTAAATTCAAAAAGATTTCCGTCTATTCCCGTGATAGAATCACATGATAGCGTACCTGGCTCGCTTCGCGAGAGATATCCGTCTTTAAGAGCATTATCTGGATGGTCGTCGTCGGCTATGGGGATGGCAAAAACCATCCGCCCCCTTGTGGTATGTGAAAAATGATGCACAACCCCGGCCCCTAAACATCACCTCCGGAAAGTCCCGAAGGAAACGTTCGCCGTCGTCGTCGTTCTCGTTGTCGTCTTTCTGGTTCGTAATCCGTGAGATCGTGTCACAGACGGGTTCGCATTATCGAGAACGTTTAGCTCACTCGCAGCTACGTAGCTACTGAGACTATTTGGAATTTTTCCAGTGGACCTCGTCCATGTGAATGACAGTATCCAGAAACACGTACATTTTTCACGAAAATTTGTTTTTATTAATAATTGCGTTACGTCAGATAAAGAAATTGTAATCGATATTAGTTTAATAAGATTAACGACGAATTATACTTGTGCGAATAAGAACATTTAATAATTATAAAAGTAGAATATTATATTAAAAAATAGTTACAGATTTGTAAGATAATTCTCAAAGTTTCATGTATTATTTCGTTCACGAGACTTGAATTATTTATTGTAACGCGATATTGACGATATTGTTTGTAGTTTAATAGTTATTTAATATTCTCGTGTATATTTCTTGATTTCAGATACGCAGAGGTCTACTCGAGAACACCACCGACAGGTATCCAGAACGCGTCGCTCCTTTGCGAGGAGCATAAAGGATTACTGCACGTGCCCAGAATTACTAACGAACTGTAAGTATAAGCCGCTGTGTATTTCCCAGAAAATATACTTGTTTGAAATACATGTTGCACGCCTCGTTACACTCGCGCGCGATGCCTGCGGAGGAGAATCGTATTTCGGGAGGGAGAGAAATAAAGTCAATCGCTTGAGGGACACGGAAAGTGGCTCTCCGAGGTTTCGGGTATTTTTCCTTGGCGGAAATTTCTCGAAGGACACTATATTATAAAGCGAAAGTGCGTGACCTCCTGGCACGCCTTTCTCTCCTTCTCCATGTCTCCGCTCTCGTTCCTCGGCCCCCGTGACGTGATGGATACGCGAAAATGTCACTCGCACGCCCCCGGGGCCAACGCGCCATCCAACATCCCCCGACCATTATGCTAAACCATTGTCCACTATCTGCCTAAGATAGCCGGCGGCTTAAGTCGTCCGCTTTTCCACCGTCTCGGTGAGACCGTTAAAAAATCATTTTTACCATCTTGTCCCCTCTCCTCCTTCCTCTCGCGAAGGCGATTCTTGTATCTGTCTGGGAATATCACGGATATTTGCTGTTTTCTTCCGTCACTTATCGTATCGTTATATTTACGTATATTTGAAAGAGCCACTGATTTAGACATGATGCGATGTGTTATAAAAATCTGTTGAAGTGACAAAAAGTAGATTGCTCAAAATTTTTCCTAGTGTATCTTCTGATTTTTAGCAAATAAGTAAATAGAATATTTTGGTTATTATTTTAATCTCTTTCATTATGTATTTAGTATTTCTTTTAACACTTACAAAGGAATATATTCTCAAGTGTGAATCTCATAACAATGCTAAATTTTATAGACTGTTATTTGGGTAACTAGAAAAATTCACTGGTTGCTCCAGTAATAAATCTATAAAATTTGGCATTGTTATGAAATTTACACTTGGGGAACGTTTCCTTTTTATGTTTCCAAAATATAAGATCATGTTAAGATTAGGGATGCCGCAAGACGAGACGAGACGAAATTTTAGGAAATATCGTCTTGTCTTGAAAAAATCTTGAAATGTACATTCTTGTCTTGATCTCGAACTCGAAAATCTTGTCTTGTCTCGAAATTCTCGACAATTTAAATAATGCGTTGTCTACAATACACGAAGTAAGAAGTAAGAGTAAGAAATTGACCAATTACAATCGATTATTCTTCTCAGATTTGATTGTAATTGGTCAATTTTTTACTCTTCTTACTCCGTGTATTGTAGGTGACGCTTAAGTATTTGTTCAATCGATTATTCTTCTCAGATTTGATTGTAATTGGTCAATTTTTTACTCTTCTTACTCCGTGTGTTGTAGGTGACGCTTAAGTATTTGTGCATCTGTTCCATCGGAAAGGTTATTCTCTACAGCAGGATTAATTATAACAAAACATAGAAATAGATTATGCGAAGAATCAGCGAGATCCCTACTTTGTTTAAATTCATGGGCTACATATTCAATATCTAAAATCTTATTTGGCGAATAATAATTATAATTGGCGCAATAAAGTGTTTGAATAATAAAAAAATGTGATTCGTGTGTTATTCGATTTACAATTAATATTTATATTAGATATAGTTTAATGTGATCTAGGCTTAGCAATATTGCACACATTTGGTATTGTTAATCATGTTTGTATTATTTGTTTAGGAAAACAATTACAGTAATTCCGGTATATACGGTATACATCATTTTATGTTGTGGCATATGATTGCGCTACTATTACATTGACAAATCGATTCAACTGACAGTAATTTTTTATTTTACTCACTCCTTCTATTTTTTCTGACTTCTGCGACATAAATCCTATATAATTTCTACAATTTTTCGAGACTCGAGATTTTCAAGAATCTCGAGTCTAAAATCTCTTCTTGTCTTTAAATTCTCCGCGCAAATCTTGTCTCGATCTCGTCTTGAAATTCGGGACGAGACAAGACAAGAATCTCGAAATCTCGAATCTTGCAGCATCCCTAGTTAAGATTATTCAGGTTGAAGATGATGTAAAAACGCGTGTGAAAGAGAGAGAGAGAGAGAGAGAGAGAGAGAGAGAGAGAGAGAGAAAAGGAGGGAGGGAGAGAGGGAGGGAGGAAGGGAAATTCATGAAACGCTGCGTAGTCTGGCTAGTATATATTTTTTCTACTTCGATTTCTCCCCTCTTCTCCTTTCATCGTCTCTCCTCGATGCATCTACCATTATTCGGGCGTTAGGCAAATACACAGGAGAGACGACAAGCTCGTCCGCGCGTTTTTGCCCCCGTGAAAATTCAAATGAGACCGCGCGGCATATTGCGCTGAATCGAAATTAATGTCGCGCAACTAATTATCGGTCGAGTCATCATCGTTTCGTACTGTTCGGGCTTCTCTTTCGCTTTCGTATTGTGAGTCTCATTGCTGTATAATCGTCCACATCGTTCTACCGAGGGACAAACGATCGCGCCAATTACCGTTTATATCATGCGGCCGTCTTAATCATGCTTGATTGATCGATCATTCATATAGGTACGTCTTGCATTGTATATGTTTTATCGAATATTTTTATAATCATTACGAGATGTAAATTGCGAAGAACGAATAAGTCTAGACTGCTGAAATGCTTGTTTACACACATTGCAATTTATATTTAATGAATGTTTATGATTATACAAATTTCATCCGATTAATTAATAATAAATTGCGATTGTATCTCGACCTAATCTCGGCCCTACTCCGAAAATAGACAGTTTCGAAATTATGGATATTAATAGCGCAGCAGTTCGCGAAATATTATTGATTGCGTACTAACGCGAGATTCTCTCGCGATACGAGGTTCAGGAACCATGCCAGGATCGAGCGAACAATTGCAAGGGCAAAAAGCTGGAGCCGTGGCACAGCAAGAAATTTCTAATTTGCGGTATAATTAAGGGAGGCGATGCAAAAAGCATTACGGATTCTACGGCGTTGTCGGAAAATCGCAAATTCCATCTTGCAAATACGGCTCTCGTCCAATCGTGTTTTCTCTTTCTCTCTCTTTGCATGTTTCTACAGTTACTTTATTATAAATATCACAAATTTTGTTGTGCTAGTTTACTTCATGGTCAGAATTACAGCGGAATATTATTTAATTGTTATAGATACACTATAGTAACTGAGGAGGAATGGTTGAAGCTCATGCAGTTCTACGATGTTGACTATCCTATTGTCATAAAGAAGACTGGCGATGACTATTCCACGAATCCTGGTGAGTACAAATCCTTTTATAACACATGCAATGATTGCGTTGGATTGTACATTGTATTATTTTTGATGTAGTCTGCAAGCGATGGTTTCAGCTGTGACACTTTAAATATCACGATATGCCGCTATATATAATAGATGTACTTTTTTTCGTTTCGCGATATTTTATTGTTGAACGACTTCCCCGCACGTGCGTGAAATATTCGCTGATAATAACCGTGATATAAAAGTTGCGCTGGATCGCATTTAGCGATATATCTTGTACAGATAGACGGAGAACGTACGTGTGTGTCGCTACCATGAGCTTCCTACTCCGCCTCTTTCCCAACCTAACCCAAGGAATAATGCCAGAAGACATTAGCCACCGATTTACATAAAACCCCCCTTCCGTCCTGCCCATCTTCTCAGTTGGCTTCTCCTCCAGGCCCCAAAGTGTCTCATTATAATTAAGAAGTATCCTGAAAATTAACTGGCAGAAAAAGCAACGCCACGCCGGGGATACGGCGGGTGAGACGACCGTAAATGGCCCTCTCAAAAGTTTCTCGCCCCCTGTTTCACGCGATGTGTCGGTCTCGGGGTATTTACTCCTTCGATGTCTTTGTTTCGTCGATCACAATCTGTTTTTTAATAAATCTTGCGAATTTTATAGATTCTAAAAATCTTACAATCTGTCGAAAATATAATTACTTGTATAAACGTAGGATGGGGTGATTGGGATGAAGAATGGAATTAAATTCAAATGAAAGGCTCAATCGATAAAACAAAAAATGCAATGATTAAAGAGGCTAATGAGCCAAGCTCGGTGATCGTAAAATAATAACAAAGCAACAAGCAACAATTATTATTAGAAACAATATTGTAAACATTTAGAACATCCGGTCTGACAATTAAAATCGCGTATAAAGGAACACGGCAGTATCGCTGCGCTTATCTTAGCGTCGAGACACTACCGTATCTCCTGATTTTTGACGCAAAACATTTTCGATCTTTTAAGAAGTCATCTTCAGTGCCGAAATCTTATTACAAATAGCATTAAAAAGTTTTTTGCTTTGGTTATTCAAATTCATGTCAATTCTATATAACTGGTCTAGTATCGTCAAGAATGGAGTGTGCGCTTTGAGGAGCGATCAAGATTCATTCAAGTTCTTCGGGCACGTGTCGCTTTCTCAGACGAGCGATCCTTGTCGGCCGTCTGGCAGGCAAATTGGGTTCCGACGGTAACACTCGGGGGACCGGTGATGCGAGAAGGGGTACGACGCTCACGTCCTGCCTCGTGCTGGCCGCCGTGCGACGTTTATCGTGTGCGCGAAGGATCTCTAAACATCCCATTGTCTTGTCCGTCTTTCGGTCGCGAGTGCGCCACCTTTTTTTTCGGGGCATTTGTCAAGACGCTCCTCCGGTTCCTTTAGAACGACGGCAAACTACGCGGCCGCAGCCGTCGTTGCCGCCGACGACAACATCTGAATTGCAAAGACCTCACCTCTCGTTGACGGCGAATCGAATGGCCGGTATCACGGTTGGGATACCGACAAGTCCGCCGTCTAAATGGAGATGTCGAGAGTTAAACGATGATTTTTGCGGACGTGCAAATGTCGAGCTAATGGTACATATTCTCCAATACTAACCGTGGCTGTCTAATTACGTAGTATTTTGAGGATTAGTATAAGAGAAAAATTTAATGCTTAAAATTTCTGAAAATAAAATTTTGAAATATATATCTTTTATGTTGTATTTGTTACATTTTCGATTTCATAAGCGTACCTCTATAGCATTTTAATCATTTCCATTTCTCGATGTCAATATTCAAGAACGCGAAGCGAGGAGGATTACGTACAAACGGGCGCCCTAGCTTATTTTGAGGACGCGCTTTGCGGACAGGAAGGGCCTCGGGGTGATCGCGAAAGGGAGAGGGACGGATTGCCAAGCGCAAAAAATGAGGGGTTGCTTTTGGTGACTGATACGGCCCTGACTAACGAGTCCTAGCCGGTCGTGCTACTCTTAAAGCCTCCAAGGATTCCCTTTTCCTGCTCTTTCTCCCCCTTCTGTCCACTGTCTCCCTCGATCGTGGAAGCACATTAGGCACCGTCCAACCTCGTATCAATCACCCGACTACCCCCGACACCCCCGTCGCAGGCCGTCCGCTTGCAAGTTGACAGAACCGGAGGTGACGCGATTGAATACCACCCTCTGTGCCTCGTTGCTCCTTCGATCAGCTCGATGACGATGGCGATGCTGGAAAACCTAAACGAAGGGAAAGAAATGTTGCCTCGTTTGTTAATGCCTCTACAACGCAAAGGGTCGATCTTTGTCTTAATGTGAGACATCTTATTCACTAGGTATGTTAGATCTCAACAACTTCATCTAATCAAAACGGATCTGTAAGATATTTTAACAAGCTAAATGATGCATTAATTAATGTATGATAGAAATCATTCTGTGATTCGTCCGCTTTAAGCGGAAGTGAATCTTATGAATTATGGATCTTCATTATTGTTTTGGACACTTCAATTGGAAACTCATATCGCGTATTTTGTCTAATTTAATCTGTAAAATTAGATTTTTGTTTTTACTTTCCGTTATACAATTATTACATATAGAAATACTCAACATTTACAGAAAATACAAGTCAAAGAATGAGATTTCTTTTCGAATCGCGCATCGACAATTATGTAAATTGCGTCTCGTACGATTACATCTTCCGGGAAACGGCTTTACACGCCAGATGAAGTTGATTCTAGAATGTAAGCGGCGCGTTGCTGCTCGCTGTTTCGTTTCTCCGAAACGTCGCTCGTAAATATCGCTTAGGCGCCAGGCGGTATCACAAATCAGGCGTGTCGTAGGTACGGCACTGGTTGTATCGCAAAACCAATGACGAACGAGTGAGCGAGACCAAGAAAACCGTGCACGCGGGGCAGACAGACGGGGGCAGAAACCGGCGGCGGCGGCGGCGGTGGCGGCAGTAGCGGTGGCGGTGGCGGTAAGAGAGACCGGCCTCGAATTAATATTCGGACGGCGATTTAGATTTAGAACACGAATTTGCTGATTAGTTCCCTCCCCGAAAATGCGGTCGCCTACGTTGCAGCGGACCGTCCGTCCTTCCATAAACGTGCGGCTAGGGTGGCGGGGACTGGGACGGACCTGGATTCGAGATTTAGTTTCCTGAGGGGGTTGAACTTACCAAGGGGTCAAACGATTCAGGAGAGACATTTGTTAGCCCCCTGTCCCCACCCTGCGACAAGTGCGCCGGACACGTCTTAATATATACATCCGCTGACCAATGAACATACCCTTATGAGCCACGGTACCGTGCGGTCAAAGTCGCTGCACTATAATGGATATGACTTCT